CCTCGCTGTAAGCACAAACCAGGGCACACACATCCATCTTCAGCCTTTTCGACGCAAATACAAAGTCTATCGCAGATGGAGACGTGTTGAGTGACTGAGAAATGCTTTGGAAAATATCTCAGTACTCGCACGACTGAGTATCCAAGTAATCCAACTTTATTTATTCACGTTTCAATGGCAAATAACAGACACAACATATAAATCCTGAATAACAACATTGGTACATTGTAGAGTAGTATTTCAACCCCTCACTCACAAACATAGCCTTGTCCAGGTACAAAATAAGAAAATCAAAGATAACATCAAAACAATCAGAAGGAAATAATATATAAGATTATTATAGTAATAATAATAAAATGATAATAATAATAAAAACAATCTCCCTCAGTGTCCAGAAGTAAACTGATCCTATCGACCAATGACAAAAATGGTTGCCATGTTTTCTTATATTTAGATTAGGAACCTTTTGAGGGAGAATCTAAGGTTTTTGCAGGACTATTAAGATCAAGCGCACCTGTAAAAGATTAGATGAGAAAGCCTGTAATAGTCCGACAGTGGAGAATATGTCGAGAGGTTAGCACCGCATCAGGGACAGGAAGTTAAGGAGCATCACAAGGAGCGACACCAAATATATCAAGAGTGAGTCGCGGGTGAGGGGGGATGTCGTGTGTAAGGAGCAATAAATATTATTGATCAATAGTCCATTTTTGTTCCTCACTGGGTTAGCGCACATGAGTTTCCAAAGGTGCCATAACTCGGCAATAAAACAGTTTGACATGGAACGGGGTAGCTTCAAATCTTATGTCCCGTTAACCACAAATGCTATTTGGTCAATAAGGAATGACAGGTCAAAATCGTTAATGTCGCATCACACGAAAATAGGCACTAGAATGACTAAGCATAGCGAGTGGGTGTCGTCCCTCTGCGGTTCACCATATAACATAAACCACATGCTGAGGCCCTAGAGATACTCCGACCACGATTAAAGAATACCGATGGTCACCCACATTGCTACATAGGCCGCATAATGAAGAATCTTGAAAAACATCGGCTTTATAGGGTCTGGCAAGTACTGTCGTCACTAAGTCAATCTGGAAGAGGACTCAACAGGACACAGCCCGTCGGTATGTTATGAGAAGTAGTGTATTGGTTTGTAAGTAGCTGATCAGCAGGGGAACAGCGACACACGACTCTGAAGACCAATGTTGGGGGGGAGGGGGGTTGCTGGGAATCACCTCGGCACAGAGCTCATCTAAGAACGTGGGGTGTGCATGCGCCTCATGGGGTGGGGGGAAGAATTATGCCACGGTTGGGGATGTGATTTTATGTGTCAGTAATATCCACCCTACGTGTGCGACTAATCCATTCGTATCAGACCAATCCTGCATATCTGCGAGTTGGCCAAAACCGATCCACCTTGGCATATCATAGGCCAGAACGGCAATGCCTTGATACAAATCATGGTTAGTTAGAGCCGAGTCTTGTTCGTCATGAGGAGCCGTCAAAAAATGAGATAGCTCAATTCAATACGGGGAAACTGACCCACCGCCACAATGCCACCCGACCGCCCATTTCCACACAATCTTCAGGTTAAAAACTGTGACTCACCTAAAAAAAGGTAAAGGATCATGGGCGGAGTCTGGGGTGCTCTGACTTGTTTTTAGGTTGGAACTAAAATCTGCTTGCCACCACTGCCCCTTTTGAGTGACTGGATATGACACACCGCTTGTTTACACAGACCGAGCTGAACGTATAGCTATATTTAGTCAGTGTTTTACATTAAGTTTGAGTGGTAACGTTACTGGCTCCTTTCGAAATATGTCTCTTCAGCTTCGCCTGTTTTCTCTATAAGACAAAAGTGTAAAGAACTTGTGCGGCTTAACCCTTTAAGCGCCAGAGATTTTTTCCAAAACGCTCATTTTGACATCTTAATTTCAAAAGGCTATAACTAAAAGTAGATAAGAGATAAAAGGTATCTGTAAATTAGAAAAATATAAAGATGACCAACAGTTATTAATGGATAAATCCTCCCATCTAATATGCATATTATGAACGATATATGGCGTTAAAAATAAGGGATTTTAAGAATTTCAAACAATATTTGTATTTTTTCTAAGCTGACAGACTATCTATGTTATCACTATAACATGAACACACACCAGAGCACAACACTGTAACATTGTAACTTTCATGAAAATAGTAAAACTCTCTCTCTCAATAAGTCGTAGCCCACACATATATGCACACATCTTACTGTACCCTTGATTACGGTAGGCTTGAAAATAAATATGTGGGTAGCACATAGTTTAGCGAGAGACTTTGGCGGACGACTTTAGCGGGAGGCTGGAGGTCGCTGGCGGCTGCCCCGACGCGATTTCCAGCTGGTTCTCCGCAAATCTAACCTGTCTCCGAAACCTCCCCAATGGAACATGGCCCAACTCTGAGAAAAAAAAACAGAAACACTGTAGCCCACTGCAGACTCTGTGCAAATGTCTAAAGTTAGTGTTGTGGCGGTACAACAAGCAGGTAAAACACGGTAAAGTGTAGTCGTAGGGCCAAGTCATGTTGGAAACAGTGCATATTTAATAACAGTACCTCTGAGCTGACTGCAGTTGTATTAAGGGCTTATACACAATACATTTTGAATTGAATTGATTCTGTTCAAACTACAAACAAGTGAAAACAATAATGTTACAAAACATGACTTTAAAGAGTTGATTTGGGCTCTTTGAATCTCAGTGAGTTTTAAAAGGGGAGGGTTTGTTGTTCCTTAGCCTTTAATCAGTCCATTCATTTCCTTTTTTAATTAATATTTAGAGTTTTGCTCCCTAGATTTTTGTTGATTGTCTGCTCCACACCACTAATGTTTCACCTGTGACTCCCCTGTGCTAGTATCAGTCAGTTTCAATTTAATGCGGGCTGCATCCTCTTCCTGCATCTAACAGCCTCAGTCCTGGATCAGCAGGCCTCAGTCCTGGATTTACAGCTCATGTCCTGAATCTACATCCTCGGATACAAATGCATCTACAAACCTCAGTCCTGGATCTGCAGCCTCCAGTCCTGGATCTACAGCCTAACAATCCAGAGAATGGCACAAACCGAGCCGCGCATTCTCCACCAAATCTGTTAGGATTTAAGCAGACAGAGACGGATCGTGGTGTGCCAAACTCTGGAAGTTTATTTAAGTTTCTCTCAAGTTGCACTGGTTTACTCTGTTTCTTTCTCTCAGACAGAATAAAGGCAGTACACAGTTTATATAGTCATTGTCACGGTTTAGATCTGGTTTAGTCTAGTTTATTCTGGTTTAGTCTACTTTAGTCTGGTTTAGTCTGGTTTATTCTGGTTTAGTCTGGTTTAGACTGGTTTAGTCTGGTTTAGACTGGTTGAGTCTGTTTTAGTCTGGTTTAGTCTGCAGTGAGCACATGGGTCCTTCAGCTCCAAGCTGTAATACCCAGTTATTAGCCCGTCAGCGTCTTTACTTCCTGCGGAAACTTAGAGAATTTACCACTAACTCTAAGATTCTGCTGAACTTTTATCGCTGCACCATTGAAAGTTTACTTGTTGGTTCTGTGTCTGTGTGGTTTGGAAACATCACAGATAAAGAAAAGAGAGCTTTAAACAAGGTGCTCCGCTCTGCAAAGAGGACCGTGGGCTGTGCAGCTTCCTGTTCTGGAGGTTCTTTACAAATCCAGACTTTTAAACAAAGCTCTTAAAATCATCGGTGACTCTTCTGGCCACCCTGGGAAAGCCATGTTCCAGCTTCTTCCCTCTGGCAGAAGATACCGGTCACTGAGATGCAAGACATCTCGCTATGCTAACAGCTTCTTTCCACAGGCTGTTAGGTGCCTAAACAGAGCATTTTAATTCCTGCTTTTACCTGCTTTTAAACTGCTTTTACCCCTTGTATTGTTTTGTCGATCGGTGCCACAGTGTCAGCTGTTTTTTTTATTATTTATTATTTTATATTCAGTGTATGTGTATTTATATTACATTGTATCGTGCTTTTTATTCTGTCGGTGCACACAGAGTACCTCTTTTTGCATGTATTTCCAATGTAGTTTTACTGCACATGGCCAATAAAATGAATCATCATCGAATCATTATTATAATAGATCCATGCACTGCATGAAAAGTGTGATTTTCGTCTCTTTTCGGCCCTGTATATTACTGTGAAACTTCTGGGATTCGGCTGTTGACGGTAGTTTGTTGTCCCCTCCTCCCTCCTCCACAGGAGGCTTTAACATGTAAATGGGAATGCTGTGAGCTATACAAATGCTAATCAGGGTTGAGGGGGAGCACAACTACTTTCAGTCAGGCCCTGTTTATACTGAGACGCTGCGCAGACGTTTCCAGGCTATTAACAGAAACGACCTGGCTCCTAATGCAAATTTCTCTGCGTTCACATGAGGTTGAAAAACGATGTAGTTCTAGCGCCCGGCCAGTAGGGGGCAGAGAAACTTTACAACACTCACACGACCCCCAGCCCCGTGCCCAGCCCCCCTCTCTGCAGTGTACTCACTTCCTGTGCCAGACCCTCAGAAAGTACCAACATCATTCTGCATTTTAACAGCAGCTGTGAAAATGGAAACTGAACCTAGAGCTTCGCGTGGTCTCGTTTGGACGAACGAAGGAGTAGTGTTAGTATTAGATAGCAATATGGCCTACGTGCAGGACTGTACAAGGACTCTACAAGGACTCCATGTTATGACTATGATGTGACTGTCTCTTTGTGACACGTCTTTCCATGTGTGACGTGACAATGACTATATAAACTGTGTACTGCCTTTATTCTGTCTGAGAGAAAGAAACAGAGTAAACCAGTGGAACTTGAGAGAAACTTAAATAAACTTCCAGAGTTTGGCACACCACGATCCGTCTCTGTCTGATTCATCCCTGACAGTAGAATTATCCTCTGTGCTGTGCTCGAAGCCCACGAAGCTAGTTAGTGTGACCGCCGCCATTGTTGTTGATGTTTGTTCTCCGCTACTGCGCATGTCCAAATGTACGTGTGGGAGCAGCAGGAGGTGGGGGTCAGAGCAGCAGGAGGTGGGGGTCAGAGCAGCAGGAGGTGGGGGTCAGAGCAGCAGGAGGCGGGGGTCAGAGCAGCAGGAGGTGGGGGTCAGAGCAGCAGGAGGCGGGGGTCAGAGCAGCAGGAGGCGGGGGTCAGAGCAGCAGGAGGTGGGGGTCAGAGCAGCAGGAGGCGGGGGTCAGAGCAGCAGGAGGTGGGGGTCAGAGCAGCAGGAGGCGGGGGTCAGAGCAGCAGGAGGCGGGGGTCAGAGCAGCAGGAGGTGGGGGTCAGAGCAGCAGGAGGTGGGGGTCAGCGCAGCAGGAGGCGGGGGTCAGAGCAGCAGGAGGCGGGGGTCAGAGCAGCAGGAGGCGGGGGTCAGAGCAGCAGGAGGTGGGGGTCAGCGCAGCAGGAGGCGGGGGTCAGAGCAGCAGGAGGTGGGGGTCAGAGCAGCAGGAGGTGGGGGTCAGCGCAGCAGGAGGCGGGGGTCAGAGCAGCAGGAGGTGGGGGTCAGAGCAGCAGGAGGTGGGGGTCAGAGCAGCAGGAGGTGGGGGTCAGAGCAGCAGGAGGTGGGGGTCAGAGCAGCAGGAGGTGGGGGTCAGAGCAGCAGGAGGCGGGGGTCAGAGCAGCAGGAGGTGGGGGTCAGAGCAGCAGGAGGCGGGGGTCAGAGCAGCAGGAGGCGGGGGTCAGAGCAGCAGGAGGTGGGGGTCAGAGCAGCAGGAGGTGGGGGTCAGCGCAGCAGGAGGCGGGGGTCAGAGCAGCAGGAGGCGGGGGTCAGAGCAGCAGGAGGCGGGGGTCAGAGCAGCAGGAGGCGGGGGTCAGAGCAGCAGGAGGCGGGGGTCAGAGCAGCAGGAGGTGGGGGTCAGAGCAGCAGGAGGTGGGGGTCAGAGCAGCAGGAGGTGGGGGTCAGAGCAGCAGGAGGTGGGTGTGAAAGAGCCCCCGCTGTGCAGCGTTTCTGAGTTGTCCCACTCTGAGGCTGGATCTGAACACTTACGTTTTCACCTGGAACAGTCTTCGTATGAACGGTTGGTAGAAACCAACATCCAACTATACCGTTTTACTGCCACAATGTCTCCGTATAAACGCAGCCTGCAGCAGCCGCTGCATTCATATGCTAATTAGGGCCATTAGCGCTCGGCGGCTGCAGTGTTCCGCTGCATTCATATGCAAAGTAGGGACATTAGCATGGTACGGATGCGGCAGTTTGGAGGACAGGGCACCCCTTGTGTGCATTATATTATAAATGAGAATGCTGTGAGCTATACAAATGCAAATCAGGGTTGCAGCGGGAGTTTTACTGCAGGAGACATTTTAAAGGATGAAAATCTCTGGTACAAACAGATCAGGCTCAGTATAGCCTAACTTTAGACTCTTACAATGAAGCTTGAATTGATTTATCTAATTAATGTATGCTATATTAGTGTGTATGCCATAAGCAATGGCAAATGTTATGTAAAAAAGATACACAAAATAAATCAGCAGTTAAAATGTGAATCAGAATCGGCAGGTAAACATTAGAATCAGAATCAGCAGGTAAACATTAGAATCAGAATCAGCAGGTAAACATTAGAATCAGAATCAGCAGGTAAACATTAGAATCAAAATCAGCAGGTAAACATTAGAATCAGAATCAGCAGGTAAACATTAGAATCAAAATCAGCAGGTAAACATTAGAATCAGAATCAGCAGGTAAACATTAGAATCAGAATCAGCAGGTAAACATTAGAATCAAAATCAGCAGGTAAACATTAGAATCAGCAGGTAAACATTAGAATCAGAATCAGCAGGTAAACATTAGAATCAAAATCAGCAGGTAAACATTAGAATCAGAATCAGCAGGTAAACATTAGAATCAGAATCAGCAGGTAAACATTAGAATCAGCAGGTAAACATTAGAATCAAAATCAGCAGGTAAACATTAGAATCAGCAGGTAAACATTAGAATCAGAATCAGCAGGTAAACATTAGAATCAGCAGGTAAACATTAGAATCAGAATCAGCAGGTAAACATTAGAATCAAAATCAGCAGGTAAACATTAGAATCAGAATCAGCAGGTAAACATTAGAATCAGAATCAGCAGGTAAACATTAGAATCAGATTCAGCAGGTAAATATTAGAATCAGCAGGTAAACATTAGAATCAGAATCAGCAGGTAAACATTAGAATCAGAATCAGCAGGTAAACATTAGAATCAGAATCAGCAGGTAAACATTAGAATCAAAATCAGCAGGTAAACATTAGAATCAGAATCAGCAGGTAAACATTAGAATCAGAATCAGCAGGTAAACATTAGAATCAAAATCAGCAGGTAAACATTAGAATCAGAATCAGCAGGTAAACATTAGAATCAAATCAGCAGGTAAACATTAGAATCAGAATCAGCAGGTAAACATTAGAATCAGAATCAGCAGGTAAACATTAGAATCAGATTCAGCAGTAAATATTAGAATCAGCAGGTAAACATTAGAATCAGAATCAGCAGGTAAACATTAGAATCAGAATCAGCAGGTAAACATTAGAATCAGAATCAGCAGGTAAACATTAGAATCAGAATCAGCAGGTAAACATTAGAATCAAAATCAGCAGGTAAACATTAGAATCAGAATCAGCAGGTAAACATTAGAATCAGAATCAGCAGGTAAACATTAGAATCAGAATCAGCAGGTAAACATTAGAATCAGAATCAGCAGGTAAACATTAGAATCAGAATCAGCAGGTAAACATTAGAATCAGAGTGAGGGGTCTGCAGAGCTCACAGTGCATAGTGCCAATGACCTTTTCTTAGGTCTCACTTAAATGCACAGAGGATGTATTAACCACACATCTCCCAGCAATGCGCTCAACTGCAGAAATGATGTTGTTTTGAAGAGAATGTTGTAATCCCACAACCAACCACATGATGGCGATCTCACAGGAGTTGCTTGAGAAACCAAAGCGGCCTCATTTACGCTGCTTCTTTCTCCTCTTCAGAACAAAACATGAACAAACCGAGCTGTTTGAGATCATTACATGTGTTTCTACTGTAGTTTTATGTGGTAGTTCTATGGACTCTTCATTTCAAAAGTCATTTCAACTGATGTTTTGAATAAAGACTCAGTTCTAGTTGGAAACATAGTTATTATTAAAGTGTTTTCAGCACAAGCAGCAAAAGAATAAGTGGTAAATATCTGAGACAAACAAACTACTTATAAGTGCAGGAGGAATGCAACAGACGCGATAAGCTACAAGTACAGACTTTACACTAGGTCTGTTCCCTGCAAGCCCCAAACTTCTATTGGCTTTCCATATAAAATATCTGTCCGGGTGGGGATGAAGCATGGATCTATTATAATAACGGGATGAAACAAAGAAACTTGTAAAATAACATGTTTAAATGCGGTACCCTTTGACAGGGTTCTTCTGAGGAACACAAACATTCATATTTGCAGTCTATGGTGTATGCGCTGGTCTTGCAAGTACTGCTGTGTGTGGGTCATGCACAAAGCCTCACACGTGATTGGACGAGGAGTCGAAGGCGCTTCAGGCTCCTCCAATCACAGACGAGGTTATTGTTATACGGAAGGACTCGCGAGACCAGCTCCTTATAAAACCAGAGCGGTGCACCCCACGGATCTATTCCCGTGTGTCCGCCTAAAGCTGCCTTTAAAGCTGTCTCTAAAGCTGACTTTAAAGCTGACAGTGAAGCTGACTGTGCAGAGATGGAAAAACCCCACCTGAAGAAGAAACCTCGGCGCTTCTGTGAACATTGCAGCCTTGAACTCTCTCATGCACAGTATTATGACCACAGGAGGCGCTATTTCAGAAATGGAGTTTGGGAGAAAAATCTCCAAAGGACTCGGTCCGATAACGCACAGATCCTGTTATCCCGTCACACCGGAGGGAGGTCTGTGCGTCCTGGAGCTGGAGAGACGCATGAGCGTGAGATGCAGACCAGCACCCAGGGAAAGAAGTGAAGGAAGAACATGAAGACAACGGTGAGCAGCAAATCTGTAATAGTTAGTGTGCAGTAAAATGTGTTTGCTTCCCATGGTAATGATTATTGTAATAATCATTAATAATCAAATACGGACATCTCATTGTAATGCATAACCATATAATGCATGGGTTGTTTTCCAGACGAAACTGCAGATGACCAAAACATTCATCTTTTCATGGATTCCAGTGACTCAGAGTCTGTGCAAGATGAAGACCTCTCCTGTCATGAGGTAAGGCATGAAATTACCTTAGAATATAGCATACAAGTTTATATATGTATACAGCTATACATGCAATCCAGAGCTCAAACAGTTCTCCAGTCTCAGTACTACTACTGCTACTCTCAGTGTACAGTTTCTGTTAAACAATCAAAGCAACTAAACACTAAAAACAAACACCGCGAGCTGTTTGAGATGAACTTGATTTTTGTCAAACTACAGTTGTAAAATCTTTTATGTTCAAATGGTGGTATTAATGATGGTCTTTTCACTCTCAAATGGACATTCATGCACTGAGCACGGTCGTTTGAGCTGCTGAGTATGGGCGCTGCCTGCATGTTTAATGAGCCTACTTTACATTTGCATAGGTTGAGAAAGTGGTCAAAGAGGAGCAGAGTGAAGCCAATCCTCACATACAAGATGGGGAGGGGCATGGAAGTGAAAAACAACAGATCTTGCTGATGAAACTTCTGGCCATGATGCTTTTGTCATGGCAATCAACCTTCAAGATTTCTGACGACGCCCTCACATCGCTACTTCTGTGCATCAAACAATTCATGTGGATACTTGGAAATGTTGTCTGTGCTAATTCCCTCACTGTCTTTGCAAATGATATTCCAAAGACTTTAGTGTCCTTGAGGAAATGGACTGGTGTCCTCCGTGACGACTTCTTACAGTATGCAGTTTGTCCAAAATGTATGACCGTATACATGCGTACTGAAACCTACGAGCCCATACGCGATGGTACAAAGGTTTGTAAGACTTGTGGTCACATACCGTTCTACAATCACCCACAGCAGAAGTCTGCATTAAGGAACAAATGTGGCTCTTCCTTGCTAAGAAAGGAAAAATCTTCTTGCGCTAAAGAGCATGTCAATCCAATAGTAAAGAGTGTGTCAATCAACCCGCCTTCAACTCCTCTTGGACCCGATCCACAAGTTTCAGCCAGTCCACAGACTGAGGACAAAGTGCTGACTGCTCTCTGTGGACTGTCTGATCAGCTTAATGAACATGCTGCCGACATAAACGAGCGCTTCACTCAACTGCTGAATTCAGTCAACTCCATCGAGGAGAAGGTGGCGGCTCTGGAGTCGAACGACTGTGCGGGAGAAACATACTCAAAGAGGAGAAGACGGGTGCACAATCCCAAGCTTGCGGTAAGAATAATGTTCTATGACTGCTAGCTAAGCTAAGTAGCCTAGCCTAAAAACAAAGCTAAGAGTAGCTTTGCAAAAGCACTAGCTTTATTAAAGTGTTTGTCATTTACAGGAAGCAGTTCGCCGTCTTCACAACTCAAAGACTAATCCCAGGCGCTACGAACCAGAGCAAGGGTAAGATTTAAAGAATGTGCTTTCATTCTGTGGTATAAGGAACTAGATATGTATAGATACCGATCTAACTGTACATTTTGTTTTCACAGACTAATTTCTCCTCATAATGAGGCAGTGACCTCCTATTTGCTCAAAGCAGTATCTGAAAGTCATGATTTACACAATGTTGATAAAGACCGCATTGTGTGTAAGTGTTTAATGTTACTGTGACTTGTGTTTGATTTTATTCATACCACTCATTAAATTGTTTTCCAGCCGCCTGTAAGACCTATTACGAGACGGTACGCAGGAGCTTTATATATGCCAAGCCAGAAAACTCATCGCGGGCGGAAGCTGCGAAGAGTTCAGCTCGGAGTCGAGCGAGAAGAAAGAGGGTAAGACTTTATTGTGACTTTATTCAGGTGTTAGATGTGTTGTGTTCACACACAGTGCATTGCACTGGACTGATTCATTGTTTTTTACAGCTGCTGGAATCGAGACAGAGCGTCCTAGCAGAGGACGAGGTGGAACTCTGGAAGTCTGCCACCGTAGACCTAATGTCCGATGAAGAAGAAGGCGTTGTGGACGGTGTCTCTGGCTGGATTGTGCGGTCGCCGTCATTTCGAAAACCGGAGCTCTCTGAACTCTGCGCGAAGCTGCAGTCCCGGTTAGACGAGACGCGGAAGTACAGAACCACACACATTAACCGTCTATGCTACGGACCTCCCTCGGACAGAAAGCCGCCAGTGACCTATGATCCAGAGTGTGCCAACGGACAGGTCACGGAGTTGTAGTTTTGGATCATCCTCTACTCGTGTGTGGGCAGATCCTTTGTATATAGTTGTTTTTGTTTTAATAAAGCTTTCTTTGCATAAACATTCATTTCCTCTATAACTTCATTCATGTCCTTGATGGCCTAATGGTGTAGTAGCCTACATAGGATAAAATCAATATACAGCATTATATGAATAAATATATATGTTCACACATTAATTATGAGGCAGGGTGACCAATAGTGACAGATCTGCCAACCAATCACGAGTAATTTTACTGGTTTGAAAGTAGAGGTAGAACGGTTCCTCACTGATCCGTGATCCGTTCGGTACAGACGTAATCCGCGGTTTGATTTATGAAAAAAAAGTTGTGCGTTGTTCAGTCCACACACAGCGCGGTCATTGCGAGCAGAGGAACAGAGACTTGAAAGCCCCGCGTCATTTAAATCCCAGTATGAGAGCATTTTGGCTTCACTGTAACTGCACTGATAATTAATATTCGACAAAACTGTCACAGTGTAAATACTGTGGCACAAGAAAGACATGAGTGAAAAAAAGCATCTCAACGACCGCTTATTGTCGCGGCATTTAAGCAGCTCCTTTACGCAGAGTCAGACCGGGCTAAAGTCAACTCTCCCGCACATCCTCAGCTGCGCTCACGACTGACGCTTGGACGTCCCGCGGAATCTATAAAAACTATTTAATAATAACTATGTTTCCAACAGAACTGTGTCTTTATTCACAGCATCACAGTTGAAATGACTTATAAAATAATGAATCTATAAAACTCTCACATAAACCTACAGTAGAAACACGTGTAATGAGCTCAAACAGCTTTGTTTGTTATTGTTGTTCTGAAGAGGACAAAGTAGCAGCGTAAAAGGGACCGCTCCTGTGTGATCGCCCTCATGTGGTTTGTTGTGGGATTACAACATTCTCCTCAAAACTCCGTCAAGGGAACGCGCCAGTATAACGTGCTCACGTAGGTCCACCGCAACCGCTAACGTAAGCCACGCCGCGCAAGTATACACTAGGCTTAAGCTCCGCGCCGCGCGACTATACACTAGGCTTAATAGATCCATGAGCGGAACCGCTCACTTCATCACCGCAGACTGGGAGATGAAGAGTCTGGCGCTGCAGACACGCCCACTCTACGACAGTCACACAGCACAGGTTTCCGTCATTTGAATATGTGTCTTTTAAAATACAACAAAAACAATCTCCTCCAATACTCTTCATTGTCCTATACAAGCCACCGCAGTCATGTCACAGTTTTATTGATAATTTTACAGAGTTGCTTTCAGTTGTATGCACAGATTTTGATAGCTTAGTTGTTACAGGGGATTTTAATATTCATGTGGATAATGTTATTGACAGAAATGCTAAAGAGCTGAGTTCTGTTCTTGAATCTTTTGGTCTCACTCAGCATGTGAGTGGCCCCACCCACAGCAGAGGGCACACTCTAGACCTGTTAGTTACAAAGGGGGTGAACATTTCTAATGTAAACGTGGTCGATGTTGCGCTTTCGGATCATTTTTGTATATTTTTTGACATGTGTTTCACTAACAAACCACCAGTGGACTCTGCAACTGTACAAAGAAGACACATAAATGAAAATACGGGTGAACTATTTATGGGAATGATAAACTTTGAGAATGCATCGTATTCTACTGTAGATGAACTGTTTAACTCTGTCACCTCTAGTGTTTTGAATGTTCTGGACACCATCGCTCCTGTGAAGGTTAAAATAGTGAAAAATAAGCAGAAGGCGCCATGGGCTAAAGCAGACTCGGTCAGGGCACAAAAGAGAAAGTGCCGGAGGGTCGAGCGGAAGTGGCGCAAGTCCAACCTCCAGGTTGATTACGAGATCTTCAAAGATAAGTTGTGCGAGTTTAACCAGGTGCTACGTAGTACGAGAGAAAGGTATTTTTCTGAAATGATTGAAGGCTGCAGCAACAATCTGCGTGTTCTGTTTTCAACAGTTAATAGATTAACAAACCCCCCTGTTCAGATGCCATTAGAGCTAACTTGGTGTTGGGGTTTTTCTCGACCTTTCCAAAGCATTTGACTCGATTGACTTTCAAGTCTTACTTGGTAAACTCTCTCACTATGGCGTCCGGGGTGTAGCTCTCCAGTGGTTTAGGGACTATGTCTATGGTAGACAACAGTACGTGAACATAGATGGGTCTGACTCTCAACTGGAAAACATAACATTTGGTGTTCCCCAGGGATCTATACTAGGGCCCCTATTATTTATTATCTACATTAATGATTTTGGAAATTCTTGTGATATTCATCGAATACTTTTTGCAGATGACACAAATTTGTTTATGTCGCATAAACGCATCGATTACCTTGAAAACTCCCTAAATGAGCAACTCATCAAAGTAAATAACTGGTTCAGATGCAATAAATTGTCACTTAATCTCAACAAGACTTCTTATATGATCTTTCACTCAAATAGTCATTTGTACCACGACCCAAATATTAATATAACCATTGATAGTAAAACCATTAATAAAGTTGAAGTTATAAAATTCTTAGGAATCCATATAGATCAATTTACAAATTTTAAAAAGCATCTTGATGAGCTTGTTAAAAAATTGTCAAAAATTGTAGGTTTATTGTTTAAAGTGAGACAGTTTCTTCCCTTAGAAGCTTTACTGTCCTTGTATAGATCTCTGTTCGAGCCTCATTTGAATTACTGTAATATCATATGGAATAATACCTACCCCACGTACATGTCTAAACTTCAAATATTACAAAAGAAAGCCATAAGAGCACTTTCTTGGTCCTTGGGTCATGCTCCCACAGATGTTCTCTTCCATAGATACGGTCTATTGAAGTTGCCTGAAGTTAATCTCTACCATAATGCGTGCACAATGTATAGTGTGGTTAACAAGTTAAATGTTCGATTGTGTGAACTCATTCCATTATATTTACCATCACACCAACATAATACTAGGAACAAACTGCTGCCTAAAGGGAAATACAGAAAATTAAAATGCACAAGTTTTAGTATTTGCCACAAAGGCCCAACTACATGGAATGAGTTGGATAGTAACCTAAAGCAATGTGCCACATTATCCAAATTTAAGAGGGAACTGAAGGCTCATCTACCGGGGAAGGATGTGACTGGATGAAAGCGTTGAAGCACAAAGAGTCTCTACCTTGTATCTGTTTGAGGCGAGAGGTAGATCTCTCTTTCACAGCCATGATCTCAGGGCTGGCAGAAGTTACCCTACAGTAAACTCCAGCTGCAAACACTTACAACTATATACTAGGAATACATTAAATATTATTCTTATCATTACTATAAAATTATTATTGGTAGTGGAGATGAGCATTCAGCAGCTTCGCCTGCCAAAGTGTTCTGTACTTCCTTGAAGTGTGGTGAAGATGTTATTATTTCTTATTCTTTATTTATCTATTATTGTTATTGATTTAGGATTATTATCTTTACTGTCATTATTATTATTATTATTACTTATGTATTCTGGGAGCACTAGTTACTTTTTATTATTATTACTATTATTTATTATTTTTATTTTTATTATTATTTATATTATGATGATTGTATGTTTGACTGTAGGTTTGTGACTGTGGTGGTGGTGGTGGTGGTGTGATGGACCCCTAATGTAAAAGCTTCTGCTTCTGGGAGTTCCATTTTCACAATGTAACACATGTACTTTTAGGGACTGTGTGAATTGTGAATAAACTAAACTAACTTCCAAACGTAAATGTAATGAGTTTGCACATTTTTTCAATGACAAGGTTCAAGGCATCAAAAACGCCATTGGGCCTCATTCACGAACGGTTCTTAGGAACAGATTTGTACGTAAATCCTACTTACGCGGTTTTTACGAAGAAAGTGGCATTCACGAATATTTCTCGTAACCAGAATTTGTCTTGGGCAAGTACAAATCCTACGAGTCCTCAGGAGCACTCGTACGCATTCAGTGCCGACATGTTCACAGCCGGGGTTGTCCTCTTTGGTGAAGTTGAATAAAAATACAACATTCCAGTGATATGTCCGTCATATCGATGTATGTATTTATTTATTTGTAGTAATCTTTATTAGTAATCTTTATTTATATACCGCCTTTTTCACTGCAGATCTGGCCTACTTTTTAATTCATTTTTAAATGAAATGTGCCAACGCTTTATCAAATACATTGGAAATCTTGCCGTGTATTAGTGACCCCTTCCTATTTATAGGGGGCATTTCTTTATTCACGGGCCACAGAACAACGGCATATATACTGCTGCTGCAGGAGGTTAGTGGGTCCGCGCTGAGTCTCTGCGCTGGTCTCTCCTATGGATCTATACGGGTCTGCACTGGTCTCTCCTATGGATCTATACGGGTCTGCACTGGTCTCTCCCATATACGGGTCTGCACTGGTCTCTCCCATGGATCTATACGGGTCTGCGCTGGTCTCTCCTATGGATCTAGACGGGTCTGCACTGGTCTCTCCATACGGGTCCGTGCTGCATGCTCCTGGATCCATACGGGTCCGCGCTGGTCTCTCAAGTCTGGTCTATGCGGTCTATCTTCGGTCCGCGCTGGTCTCTGCGCACCAGTCTCTCCAGTCAGGTGTCTCCAGTCTATGCGGTCTCTCCTATAGGTCCGCGCTGGTTTCTGTGTGCTGGTCCTGTAAATGCACCTGTAAATGATCAAACTGTCCAAGAGATAATCTCCAGTTTGAGCTCCTCCACATGCAGCCTGGATGTACTACCCAC